CCCCCCCCCCCCCCCGTAAAGCCCGGCTGTGCCCGCACGGGGACATCCCTTGGGCTTTCGCTTCGGCGGCCCCGGGCTCGGCCTGGGTGGGGCTCGGCTCGCTCGCGCCTTCCCGTCGCTTTCCGCGGGTGCTGCGCGGCGGGAGCCGGGCGGGCGGCGCCTTTCTCCGGCCAGCGGCGGGGCGAGTTCCTCCGCCCGGGGGCGCCGCATGTTTGGGGTTACTTGAATCCCGGGGTTTTCGGGACACACGTTTCAGCTGGGGAATTGCCCCAGTCGGTGCTCAGGAGAAGGCAGCTGCTGTGCGAGTGGGAGTGTACGCGCACACGTGCCCCCCAAGCCGGCGCCTGACGGAAGCAGGGCCCAAGGCCCAGCTCCGAGCATCAGCTCGCAGCAGCCCCCAGACCCCATTTCGCCGGATCGTGCATGGGCCGGGGCAGGCGGGAGATGGGTTTTTCTTGTTTGTGTGGTTTTTTGCAAGGAAACGAAGCGCCGCCCCCTTGCTGGCGCTGCCCCGACGCCGGCGGCTGTACCGAGACCCCTCAGCCGAGGCGCCCGAGAGGGCTGCGGCGCTGGACGCAGGAGCCCGCCAATCCCGGCGCTCCAGCTCTGAGGAGCTGAGTGGCAGGAGCAAAAGGGCGGGGCCTTGGCTCCCGGAGGCCCCGCCCCGCGGCCGCGGCCGCGAGAATGAGCGGGCGGTGAGGGGGCTGCTGCAGGGCAGACCCTGCCCCCTGCTGCTGTCTGCTGGGCCTGACATCCCCCCTTCCGAGAGAGCCCCCCTCAGGACAAAAGTGCTCTTTTCCTTGACAACAGCGTTCCTCCTTCTACTGACTCCTCAGTGTCCCCCCTCCACCCCCTCAAGAGCAAATATCCACAGGCCTGTTAATGATATTAGCCTGCTGGCTAATGGGAAGGGGTAACCTAATCCTGCTTGGGAAAGGTGGGGCTCGCAAATACCTAATCCAGAAGAGAATACCATTAGCCCGAGAGCACGGAGTGCAAAAACATGATTTGAATAAACTGATGGGGTGGTATGGGATATTTCCTTGAGGGAGTACTAGACTCTGAGCTGTCACAACCGATTGTGTAAATAGGGTAGACTGAGGGATGTGATCCTAATCATATTGATGAAACATTCATCTGAAAGACCGAGCGCAACTAGAAGACACTCGCGAAGAATACAATTAAATACAAATCTGAAGGGGAGAAATCCTCCAAAGACACCTCCTGGCAATAAGAAGATACAGAAACAGAGAGGAAGGCAAAGCAGGAGGGAAGTGGATTGCCTGCCTGCAGTCATGGGAATCTGATTCTGGGGGAGCTGCCTTCTTGAAGCTAATGGAGGATCCCACTAGGTGGCCTGCAGGAAGTGAGGCATGTCTTTGGGCCAAACCTGCAATTGCCTAATTTTACTCATTCGATGTCGGTGAAATTAAGCAGGTGCATAAGGTCCTGTATGACCAGAGGGAAAGTTCCTTGCTGACCCTGAATTTGACAGTCCATTTAATTCTATGCACTGGGCAAGAATTGCCATAGTTAATCATCTAATGCTATTTAGAGTCCATCTGCTATAGGAAGATGACTTCTTGCTGATAACAGTCACCAACAATAGGCTTGCTCTATTCTATTCAAATAGGCTTTTATCTGGTGCTCATTATGGCAGTATCTGATGGCCTTCCAATAGCATTTTAAGCTACATGACTAGTCTTTGCTAGCAGAGAGAGCTGTGCCAGGCTGAAGTCAGACAGAAGGCGCCTTTAGGGTGCTCACAGAAGTTGCTTT